AGCAAGTGAACCGGCCGGTTCAGACTGGTTACTTGAGCAGTTCAGGACTCAGTGACCTGGTCCGAGTTCAGTATAGTGTTTCAGTTAATTTTTCAGTCCAGTCAGTTCAGTATACCAGTACCAGTTTAGTATGGTCTTTTTGTCAGTCAGGTTAGACCCCGAGATTATTTCAGTTAAATATTTAGATCGAGTCGAGCATCTTAACAACTATTTCAGTCAGTCTGAGCATAGTACTTAGTGTTGGTTTATTTATATATTTTTACATTTTGATCAACAGCAGCACTTACACATTTTCAAACCAACAGTTCAGGTGGGGACTCAGACTGAGTATTACATTGAGTATAATTATAATTATCATGTTCAAGGTATGTATATTCAGTTCCTGCTCAGTGGGGCTAGACAAAGTAAGACTATCTGAGTTCTAGTGGCGTAATCTGCCCACTAGAGTGTCCACATAGGATTCCGGCGCAACTCTTATAGCCGGCAGATACAATATTCGATCCCGTATCAGATATGGTTGATCACAGACATGACATGACAGTTCCAGTTATATATACTATTGATCATGATATTGTAATTATTATTTCTATTTACTTTAATATGAGTTTCTGCGGAGCACAGTGGTTTTTAGTGCTTATTATTTATTTTTTAGGTACAGAGTCGATTCCGAGGGGTGAGCTGTGTTGGTGGTCGCAGACTTTGGCTTTATGCCGTTTTACAGACTTTTGGTTCTGTATATATATGTTTTGCCACGCTATTACTTCCGCTGATACTTTCAGGTTTTACAGACCCGCATGTTGATTTCCTGCTTTTTTTGATCTTATTTACTAGTCGGATTTTGTACAGTATTACATGCCCGTCTAAGTAAAGATATTCTGTTTTTCCTAACAGTTTTAACTCAGAAATGATGACGGGTTTTTCATAAAAGAACGGTTTCTCAGTAGCATCCCGAATCACGATTTCGCAAATTAATAAGTATTTTTCAGATAAGATTTTGCGAAAATTTGACTCTGATTTTAATAATCTAGCAGGGTGTTACAAATATAAAAAAGGTTCGCTTGCTATTTGAACCCTGTATGTTTTCCCGGACTTTGTACCCGTGCCTGCATGCCTGCGCGTCACCATGTCGTCCTGCGTGTGTGTTTCACGTGCCCGTGCATCCGCCCCTGCAGTCCCGCAACCTGCGTACATCTTCTCGTGTTTGCCTATGCCCAATAGTGCCTGTCAGGGCCTAGTCGTGCCCAGACCACACCAGTCTGCACCAGACCACGCTCGGTCCATGCCAGCGGGCCAGCCCGCACCCGTGTCGAGCAGTTTCGAACCATTTTTCTTTTTTTCTCGAACCATTTAACTTTGTTTTGACTCGTATGACCCTGTTTTCCATGCCGAGTCTATCTTTTTAGGTTTTTAAATAATTTTTTTGTGTCTAACTTTCAAAACCAAGTGTTCCAAACTCCACAAAATTTCACGAGCTACTTAGTCGACGATTTTTTCGACTATGTAAGAATTCTTGTTGTAAATTCCTGATTTTTTTCTTTCAAAACGAAGAATATGATATAACCACCAAACAAACAAAGTTTAAGTACAAATGTCCTGACAATAACAAACAAATCACAACTGAAATAAACTAGCACAAAGAGAGGAAGACCCAAACGGGTTGGTCTAGTGGGGGAATGAGGGACCAATGGCAGCTCCATTGGGCAGTATAGAATACTGGAGCCTTGGGAGATACCATTAGACATACAGAAATCAACCTAGTAACTGCAAAAAACACATAGCTAGATAATAAAACAAAGCTCTAACAATACTAAGAAACAATTCTGAGGATGCTGCTCTAACGATTGCAACCTCTTGCTGAAATTGATTTTTGAATACCCATAAATTCCTGGATTTTCATAACCACCATAGAATGTAGGTGGTTAATTGGATTCTGTCTTGAGCAGCCTTTTGATTATGCATTAAGCACACCTATGTCCACCAGGTTTTGAAGCAGTGCACATCCTGTTGTAAGCTAGTCCACTGAACAGGTGCATGCTTCCAGATGTTTTTGGCTCTTGGGCAGTTGAAAAGCAGGTGTTATGTGGTTTCCTCTTTTTCTCCACATGATTTGCAGATGCTATCAATCTGAATCTCTCTTTTGCAAATATTTATCTGGGATGGCAGGATCCTAGAGTAGCACTTCCAGATGAAGTGCTTGAACTTCCTCTTGATTTTTAACTTCTTGCTGATGTTCCTGACCTTTGTGATCTTAGATGGTTGGCTGCTAGATTCAGGGAAGTTTAGACCCAAGAGTTTGCTGTGTAGGAGGTACAACTGTGAAGTTTCCTTTTTTATTAAAGCTCCAACTTGGTCTATCTCCTGTCAATTGCAGAAATTTGCCTTATTGCCTCATACTCAGTTGTAATGAACAACTGTTTAAGAAGGGAGTCATCCCATGTATCTGAGTTAGGCAGTAGAAGCTCTAAGACCCATGTGAGGCTGTGACTTAGAGTGGTATTGTTCTTGCAGGGTTTGTGAGAAGGGATAGTTGGTATCCAGGGGTGTCCCCAAATCTTTGTGTCCTTGCCATCTTTCACAACTTGCAGAAGTCCCTGTTCTAGAAGTGGCCTCACAGTCATACAACTCCTCCAAAGCCATGAATAGATTTGAGGGGGGTTAGAATCAAGAAGGGAGCAGCTGTTAGGAAAATACTTCTGCTTGAGAATTATGCTCATCAACAAGTTTGGTTTGGTGTAGATTCTCCACATTTGTCTGACAATGAGTGATTAGTTGAACAATTTGAGGTAAGTGAAGCCCAAGCCTTCTTGATATGTACGGATAGTGAGATGATTCCACTGTTTCCAATGCATACCATCCCCCTGATCTCCACCTTTTGACCACCAAAACTTGGATATTAACTTTGATCTCAGAGCATACACCGGAAGGAAGGACAAGACATGACATCACAAAGATGGGCAAACCACTCAGGACTAACTTAATGAGAACTTCTTTAACTGCAGTGGATATAAACTTGCATTTCCAATTTAGAATGCTATTTTTCACCACTTCAAGAACAAAGTTAAAGGTTTCTTTATTAGAACGGCCAATGCCAAGGGGCAGGCCTAAGTATCTAGTTGATGTTTTGATCTGGATGCCATGAAATAATCTACAGATGTCAACCTGAACCGAGGTTGGTGGGTTTTTGCTAAAGAATATGGAAGATTTAGAGAGGTTGGGTTTCTGGCCAGAATAAATATGGTAATTGTGAAGGATGTTCAAAATCTCTAGAGCTTGGTGAGGCTTGACAAAAAAAATCATTGTGTCATCTGCAAAGAATAAGTGTGATAGAACAAGACTTGATTGAGAGATTTTTAGGCCAGTTAATGACCCTTGAGAGAGTGGAATTTATCAGACATGAAAGAAGTTATGAGACAATGATGAACAAATATGGGGAGATAGGATACCCTTGTCTTAGCCCTATCGAGGGGAAAACATGAACTCACTTTTGACCATTAATGTTAAGAGAAACTGGAGGAAGAAATGCAAGCCATAATCCAATAATACATTTCAAGTGAAATCCCATTTTTAGCATGATGGATTTAATG